TATATATATATATATATATATATATATATTAAATAAAGGTTGATCGTCTATCAACCTCATAGTCTGACCAAGGGGCGGACCCCCCTTCCAGAAAGATGTGCAATTCGATCCTACGGAGGGATCGAACCCCCGACCCAAGGGACTTGCACCAAAGGCCGTAACCAAAGAGTCAGGCTAAGGCGCACGCACCCCCACACACATACTATGTAAAATAAAATACTTCCAAAAAATATTGTTTCAAAAAGCAATAAATTAATAAAAAAATGAATTATTCACCTGATTCTTTGTTCCTAAATAAATTCATATAAGAACAAAAAATACTTTTTTTCTTTGCTAGAATTTTTTATTATTTATATTATTTTCTTTAACGTAAAAATATAGATATATAGTATTAACAACTACCTATGCTTCTTTAAACATATTAAATTGTTCATATTCTCATTCATTAATCATTCACCTGTTTCATCGAAATATAAGAAATTTAGAATAAGAATAATAAGTAGATAGTTTATAGAAGATTTAGATATAAATAAATTTTCTCTAAACTTTAGCTTCTGAATTCATTATTACTATCACTTCACTAACTTCTCTTGCACGAAGAAAATCATATTTTTCCCTTATTATTTATAGGTAAAATGAGTTCATGCATGAAATGCACATGCTTTGAAGAATGGAGAAGTGGCAATGGAGATGGCAAATGCACAAGTGTTCGCATGTTTTAATTCTTACAAAGAATTGGAAGTATTTGAATGAATTCAACATGCACAAAATTTTCATTAAAACTTACATACAAGATGACATAATTTAGAGAAGGTTTGTGCATCTTATACATGCAACCATCATTACATGATAAATTAATTAAAATTAAGAGAAAATTAATTGTGACGAGTAAAAATTATAGCTTTAAGAGAAACCTGTAATATTAATTTTATAAAGATTACTTTTAATAAAATCATTATATCTTTATATTAATATTTATTTTATATGAAATATTAGCTGTCAAAGTATTTAAAAACATTAAATATTAGTTATTCATTTATTTTAAAAAGATATGAAGCTAAGCTATAATATAAGGTTCAAATTCTTATATCTATAAACTTTAAGAATACAATTCTTTAATTTTATTACATATAATATAAAACCATTTTTTTTAATAATAGTAAATAAATGTTAAGGAATTCATGCATTATTTCATATATAAATTCCTCAATCCTTGAATATGTTTACATTTTTAATTACATATATAGTTCTTAAGTATACATAAAAAGGGGCAATTACTTATAGACCACCCTAAACTTGCTATTTACAAATCAACCATCCTATTTCTTCCATTTTGCAATTTCTCAGTCAAAATTAATGGTAAAATCCCAACTCATATTTTTTCATTTTTATCAAATTCTCAGTAATTTAATTGTGGCAGGCGTAAGTAAATTGGTTCGGTAGTTCAAAAAAATCACGTGTCGTTAATTTGTAAATATCAATGTTTCAGGTATATAAATATCCATAAAATATTAGAGTACAATAAAGATAAGGACTTGTCTTTATGCTCTTGATAGATAATATAGAAATTAGGGCTTGAGATATGCCTTTCTAAGTCTTAAGACCATTTAATTTTGATGAGAATAAATATATGATTAGATGCTCTAGCATGGTGCTTAGGTGTTTCAGGTATACATTCAAATAAAACAATTAACTTAAGTGCAACCAAGCTTGAGAAATGTCCATTAGATTTGGTTTATCTTCAAACTCTTATAAGGTGTCTCTCATGCATATGAATTGAAATTAATAACCTCAAATAAAAAAAAAAAATTATGAATTTTATTTCAATATTATGAAAATAATTTTTATTACATAAAAATATCAATTAAATAAAATCAAAATGACTGCTAGATTTTATATATATATATATATATATATATATATATATATATATATACGAAGTTTATAAAATTATTTGATCGAATAAGTTTATGCATTAAAACTTGCTTAAAATTGCTTCAATCCTATTCGGTGAAATCTACAGCTTTTAATTTTTAGTTGGCCGAAATTAACTTGTTTAAAATTAAAAAAAAACATTTTTAGTGATTCCATTATTTGTTAATTCAAATAAATTCAAAACAGGACTTAAGGATTTTAATTGTGAACAGTAAACAAAAACCTAAATAACTAATATCATATTATGAGACTTGAATAGATGATGATTGTAAAATAAAGGTTCATTGTGAGACTTTATCGTAAGATGGAACATACACGCTTTGAGATTGCCAGAGACAAAGAATGTACAAAAATGAAATGGCAGCTTAGCACCTTGAAAGTTAATGTGACTCTTAAGTGAATGTTGCAAATGCTACTTCTACATAGCAAGGGTAATTTAGTCCAGGCACATTAATTATGGCCATTATAAGGCATATAAAATCAAATTTCTCTTCAGAACTATTTTAAAAAGTCTCTTACAAACCAAAGGATTATCACACTCATTATTGATATGAGTGTTAAATCGAGTTCATGGGTTGGGTTCAAGTCTAGCTCAAACTTGATTACCTAAATATTAAATGACAGATAGTCCAACCCAAAAACCGACCCACTCCTAACCCACTAACCCGAACCTGAGCAGACTCATTTAATATTCAGGTAAGGTTTGGGTCAACAAGTTTCAAGTCCAATCAAGTTTGAGTTAGAATTGATTCCGACCCATCCTTAACACGCTAACCCGAACCTGACCAATATAACCAAATTTACATAAAACATAATAACTATTTGGGTCAAATTCAAGTTGATTTGGAGTCCATCTCGGCTCAAATATGAGTTGGCGGGTTAGTTTTATGTCAACTTTGGGTTATTTGATCAATTTCGAGTCAAGTTGATGTCAATTTATGAACAATTTTATGTCAACTTTTAAGTTGGCAAGTCAACCTGAACCCGACCTTAATATTATTAAGTTAGGATTCTTAACACAAACCTGATCTAAAAATTATTCGGTTCAATCCAAACCCGAATTTTTCAAGTTGAGTTCAGTTTGAGTTGACATATTGGATCAATTTTTGACAACCCTACATATTGAGCATTTATATATTGAAGCATGCATCGATATTGACTCTATTGAGCCTGTCATAAAAACTAACTAGTCCAGTTGGCAAGAGCTTTGAAAATTGTTGCTAAGATCTTGAATTCAACCTCTCCTGCACAATGATAAATTCTCATCTTACAAACTTTCTGAGTGATTAAAAAAAAAAACAATATTTTGTTGAAGACAAAAGTTAATATATGGCTATTATACTTTAATGGGAGACGTAAATATAACATGACATGATGTGATAAAGCTAACATGTGTGTGTTTGGGTCAATTTAAGAGGAAGGGCTTATTTAGGAAAACAACAAGGGTGCGTGATTTATTAAAACTTAAGGGTTGCTTGGAACCACTTTTCATTTTGATTTTGGTTTTGATTTTGCCCAAATTTTTACTTGAAATAAAACAAGCATGATATTTTATAACATATTTAGTTGTTTTTAAGAACACTCAAAAGTGCTTTCAAATATTTCAAGTATTTTTAAAAACAAGTAAAATTGATCTTTTAAATTTAAAAAAAAAAACATAAAGAAAATACATTAAATAAACATATTTTTAAAATAAAAACAAAAACAAAAAAATAAAAAATAAAAGTGATCCCAAACAAACCTTTACATTTATTCTCTTAATTTTCTACTGTCATATTTCTTCATATATACCCATAAATACAAATCATAAATCAATAAATTCCATCATCAAAGCCTCTGCACATAACAGCAACCAGGCCAAAAGTCCCACATCATTCACAAGAGTTTAACTTTGATGTTGTAGTAATCATCAGACAGAGCCAACATCAATTTGTGCTAGAAAATGATGTTCTACCACTCTAATTACGTATGATGAATGAAACGCCCAATAATTTTCGAGATTAGTAAACATAATTGCTAACGCAAAAAGCAAAGAGTTTTGAATGTTAAAAATCAAGCAAATTCTTTTCAGTCACTTTTCCATTCATCTTTGAGACCTGCAAAATTGATTCTTGCAGCTCCTGAAACTTCTCAGAAATAGAAACCTCTGCAAAGAACCCACATATATTCTGCTCAGAAGCTTCCTCATAGTCTCTTCTCCTCTTCAACACTAAATAGCCACTGATCTCCCATGCAGCTGGGTTCACTTGGGTATCAAGCATCTCTTGACTTACTTTTCCAAGAGCTCGTCTCTCGGCATAACGCTGCATCAATTTCAGTTTTATTTTTAAACAAAAAAGTTGATAAACCAAAATATCACAGGTTAATCACTTCAATAATACCTGCAGAAAGACGAATATGCGCTTTCCTGAATCCGATATGAGCATATTGAAAGGCTGATTGTTCACTTCTAAGAAAGTGCAAGTACTGGAAACAACATATGCTAAATCCTTGAGGTTGCTTCCTCCTTCAAAAACAAACCCTCTTACCGGATAACGCAAGAGCCGAAGAATCTTCACACCTAGCCTTAAAGTTGCAATGCACTCGGTGGAAGCCTTCTCAGCTGGCAACAGCATTGGCAAATAAAAAGCCTGCCAAAACGGATCAATCAGCCAAGACAAAGACGGTGCTTATAAATTATATCCCGGTTCAGAAGAGAAACCTGAAAATGAAGGTGGTTAATGGTGGCAAAAGCGCCAAGACTATTATAGCCTATTTTGAAGTGAAGACTTGCAGCCTCCCTTGCCATGTAAAGAGAAAGCAGCAAGCTTTCTATGTCCATTCTCTGCGGAAAACGTTCAAAGATACGAGGGATCAAAAGAATATGGCCAAATCCAATGGGACTCACCTGTAAGAATAAAGAGATTGATTCCTTTGTCGAACCTTGGGAAATAATTGAATAAAACATGAGTTAAAGTTCTACATACATTGATTGCAATAATATTTACAGAGTCGGGAGTTAGTATAGGAGCAGTATCAACAAAATTTGTAATGTTCTGTTCGCTCTCTTCAAACCTACAGATAACTTCACTACTTGGAATTTTGGTGAAGTTGAACATTTTCGCATCAAAGGGTTGGAGAACCTTGCCCATTCCATGCTCTGGTGGTCTTTTCTTTATGTCACGGCCCTCGATTAGCCGCACTATAAATCCATACTCCCCTTGTAGAGTCTGTGAGAAAGTAAATGTCGTAAAATCAGGATGCCAGAGAATATAAAGCCAAGAAAGAAGGATCTATGTGCTCCTCAGACCTTGGTTTCACATGTAGCAATGTCATGATGGAATAATCCTCTATTGTTTTTCTCTTCCCACTGAAAAGTGAAAATAACCTATCTCAACAGGATGTATTTAAGAAAAAAAAAGCATACAAAAGTCAATAAAAACGAAACACATACCCGTTGAAGAAGTTTGTTGAGGAAGAATTCCGGAGGCTCTTTTGATAGAAAATTAGGACAATTCTGACCCTTGCAGAAAGTATACAATGGAAGTATGGTCCCTAAAGACATGGAGTGGTTCAAGAAATAAAAGAAAGTGCACAGGAAAATTTAAGCTTGCAGAGGTAATAGATGGCTAGTTAGTAAAAGATTCCTTGAAGAATGTATATAAAAGAGAAAAAACATGATATTGAAAACGAATAAAGAAGTGAACTGTTTCCTTGCAAGTATACATTTATTAACAAGATCTTATTTTGCCAGTTTGCTTATTTACGAAATTTCAACTAAATTTGAGGCATATTTTATAGCCTGCTCATGGTATTTTTCGTTTTAGTTATTTGATTGCTTAATGAGATAGCATACTAAAAATTAAGAAAGCCTAAATTTTGTATTTCCGAATCTTACTAAATTGAGTTTCAAGGCTTTTAAGGAAGTGATTTACTGCAACAATGTCTATGAAAATAAAAAACTTAAAGATTTCTTTGACACAAAGATAATGGAGAGCTCACTAGGTCAATAACTTAGCCGGTAGTTTAGATTTCAAGTGTCTTCCTCGTTACTGGTGGATTGGAATTTGATAAGCCAAGCCAAGGTAGGCCGAATAGCTTGGCCTAACCATAGTGAGTCTCACCTTCTCCATAAAGTTAGGGAAAACTCTAGCGAATAAAGGATGTCAATTGAAGGAGATAAGAGTTTCCATTGCAGATTTAAAACAAGATGTGAAAAATCATGTAACAAATAGTTAAACTTTGTGGGGTTCTATTAGATTTATAATTGTCAAAGTTAAGCGTCTAACAAATATTTTTATGCAAATTGTTCATATGGAAAATTGATAATGCAATAAGATATGACTAGGTTGGGATAATTCCAACTTTTCATATAACAGATAATATCTCAAGAATTGGAGCACCAATTTGTTTAATTGATTTAACATCTTCAACTGACATAGCATATTCAGTTTAAAAGTTGTACATATATATACACAAAAAATAATCTGCACGAACCTCGAGATAATCTGAAGCCTGCTCCCGTCAAATTAGTGACCCTCGGCTGACTTTTTCCTCCGAACGCAGGACTCCAACAGGGAACTTTGTCCTCCGAACAGAAAACTCCGACGGGAACTTTTCCCCCCGACGGAGGACTCAGACGAAATACTTCCCCCCCAAACTGAAGACTCAAATGCGGGACTTTTCCCTCTGACGGAGGATAGTTTAGCAAAACACAACAATACAAAGACTAAAATATCTTGTACTACCCCTCTTAAAGCAAGGGTAATATTATAATTTACTTTTTGGCCCTCCTATCATCTATAAATTGGACTCTTTCATGTAAAAGGGTTTCTGAGCTCCCCCCACTTGTAACCTCTACTTTGTGGAATAAAATGGGTCCACGAGCCTCGGAATACTCTGATTCGCTCTGAGGGGGCAAGTCTTCATCTCTCTCTCTCTCTCTTTTTCTTTCCCTCCTACACTCTATTTCTTGGGCACGTTCTACCGGACAGAAATTCAACAAGATAGATTCAAATTCTAATTGAATTTTATCTTTAGATATGATCTCGAAGGAGATGACCACATTGGGTATGAAAATTCAATTGCAAGTACCCTTCTATTAGAAATAGACCAATTTTGATGGGTAATAGAACTACTAAGAAATCCATCAAATATATTGATTTAGGCATCAATGGAGCTTTTACTGATTGCACAATACACAGTTTTCAATGCTTCGGGAGATTAGAGAGCTTCATTTGGCGATGAATTACAAAAGAAATTCACAACATATTGTCACGCTATTGAGTCAATGGGAATATTTTTTAACAAATTTCAACTAAGATGTTTTAAGAATGAACCAAAAAAAGTTCAAAAAATTGCTATTCTAGATTAAGTTCAAATAAAATTTGAAATTTATACTTTGTTTTACATTTTCATCTGCTTAAACCCTTATAAATAGAACAAGGAAAATAAAAGCTGCAGGGGGCCATAATCAGCTATTCTCCAAAAACAATAAGAAAAGAGAAAGGACTTGTGCGGTACCTTCTTTTAAGAGAAATTCCGGGAGATTTTGGTATGGCTTGAATCTCTATATCATTACCTCTCATTGATGCTCATGTATGGCAATAAGATTTAAAAAATTTTACTATTTGTTCAAATTTAAGGACTTCTTTTAGTAAGATTAAGTCTAATAAGTTTGGGAAAATTATTTGGAGCATTTACATACTTACCACCCAATTCATACATATTTACATATCTAACCACTAAACCTTACATTTTATGTCTATACCACTCAAATCTTTCATAACACATAAGAAATACCGCCATTTTAACTTTTAAAAAGTAATATACACATTTTTATGTATAGGTAAGGTGACATGTAGGTAAGAATTGAAGTTTAGGTGTTAGACGTACATAAGAATTAAGGATCCGTTTCGGGCAGCTTATAACTGCGGACAACGTTTTGAATGCGCCATCATACCGTTTGTTTCGTGTGTTTCACCAACTTATCCCAAAATGACTTTTCTTATTTGTTAAACACACAGCCCACAAGATGATCCCCGTGCGCTGCGTTTGTTAAGATCTTATTTACTCCCGTGCCCTCCTCGTTAGGTAAACCTATCGCGCGCTCCTCTGCCCTAGCCGATCCCCCCTCCTTCAGCAAACCTT